TTCTGCGTCGATTCATAACCGTTGATGAGACCTGGGTTCATCACTTCACTCCTGAAAAAAACGAAGAGTCAAAACAGTAGGTTGAAAAGCGGGAACCAGCTCCAAAGAAGGCAAAAACAATTTTATCGGCAAACAAGGATATGCCTACTGTTTTTTGGGGTGCGAGAGAAATTATATGCATCTATTATCTGGAAAAGTGTAAGACAATCACTGGTCAATACTACGCAGGCTTATTGGAATGTTTGAAGGACGAGGTGCAAATTGAACGACTTCATTTTTGTTTCATCACGATAACGCACCAGCGCATTGTTGATTGTTTAAATGTCTAAAATCCACGAATTGAAGTTTGAATTGATGCCGCATACTCCCTACTCTTCAGACTTAGCTCCCACCGACTATTGACTTTTTCCTAACCTCAAAAAATGGCTTGGCGGTAAAATATTCGAAGGCAACGAAGAAATTATCGAAACTATGAATCAGTATTTTGAAGAGCTTGACGAATTTACGTTCAAAACTGGTATTCCTGAAGGAGAATAATTGAGTTTGTTTTTCAGGTAGTTTTTCTATTTTTGGGTGTGGTTTTTAATTTTTTCTATATTGAGCATATGGTTAATATGTATTCTGCACTGAACCACCATATCTGTTTTACCTATTCGATGTCATTTCATTCTTTTCCTTTCTTCATTATGCAGAAAATTGTTGAGATATAGTTTTTTTTTCATTTTGTTTCGGTTGAATTAATTAGCTCCTGCTGTATCCCACCTCTTAGTACTCTATAGTTTGTGAAGTTATACCAATGCAATTTGAATAAAGTATGTCAAAAAATGTTAGCAACACTTTGTACCTATGTATGAATTTTTTGATGGAGAACTAATAAAGTTTTATTATCATTATAACTAAATTAGAACACCGCTATGAGAAATGTATCAATAATGATGGAGATTATGTTGAAAAATAGAGCAGAAAAAATAATTTAAAACATGGTTTTTCTTGGTCAGTCCGGAAACTTTTCACCCCACCCACTCAATACGGAGGACTAACTAGTTATTTAGAATTTGTGTTTTAATGCAAGTACTCCTTTGTCGAAACTCTCTTCACTATAATATGGTGTGAGGACCTGCAATATCTTATAACGATGATAATAAATCTATTTATTGAATATCATCCTCACTCTTCGATGCAGAGTTATCCCGTTGTATCCCAACTTATATATTAACTTTGGATATTGTTCTAGATTGAAACCATTACACATGTATGTAAGTATAGAAACAATAAACGGAACAAGCCAAATCCGTTTTCAGTGAAGATCCGTTAGTTGAAAATGTACCTTGAAATTGAGCTTAGGGACTAATCAAATTATTCTGGAGAACAAAGCGTTGTTAAGGGAACTGTTCTGGAAAATCGTTTCAGGAAATAGCATGAGTAAGCCATTTTGTGTATTCCATTTTGTGTTAGGAGTAGTAGATATCTTCAAGCCATATTACTTATTTCTCTCAACAAATGCATCTATTGTAGATACTTGCATATCAACTACATCGTTGTTTACAAACCAACATCAAAATTCATCAAAAAGCAGAAAAATTTTATTTGGAAAACGAACACTTTTTTATACCCGAATTCTATTTCAACTGAGTGAATGTAATTTGCCGATATCTGAGGAGTTTTAGAGGTTGAGCAGGTTGAAATGTCGTGTTTCTATTGTAACTTCACATTCGTGGAAATATTCAGATTTTGATTGAAGCACTTTGAAATGTGAAAATAGAAAGTATTGAAGTGACAAAATTGCAATAAAGAAGAACATGACTCAACTTCATAATTGCACTGGTTATTTTGACATAATTTTGTAATGACAAGGTAAGGATACATGCCGTAAATTAAACATTCCTTCAAAATGTGTGATTTATTTGAACAATGTGCCATATTCCTTCTAGTACATTGAAAGAATATATTATTGTTCGGTACATTTATGAAAAACAAGGTCCACACTTAGGAATTATAGGTGTTAGTTTTGATATTCATTGAAAGTAATTAAGATTCGATTAGATTTACAATTGAATATAAAACGTTAAATTATACAAATTCTTTTCGAGTAAATAGGTAAATAGGATGATACTTAAAATATGCGTTGAATTATTTTACATATCATTTTATTTCAGATGTTCATTTACGTTGGCGAACTGATTCAATATGTTAATTATAAAAAGCAGAAAAAACAATCTCGATCTGAAATTATGAATGAATGTGCCACAAGAATATAGATCAGTCTGAAAAATTGGGGAAAACCTAATTTTTAATTTTTTTTTGATTCAGTGGTCTTAAACTGGTGGTCCACTAGGTCGGCAACGTGGCGCGGCGCGGTAGATAACGGCTCTCGAACAAATTCACTTCGAAACGGAATAATTATTTTTTTTTTTCAGAATCAAATTCCTCGAAAACGATTCGAGCTAGAACAATATACTTTGATTTATTATTTGGAGCGTACATTTGTGAATAAACGTTTCATTTAATTTTTAAATTTAAAATTTCTAAGCGTATCAGTTTTATAGGAAAAAAAAAATGTGTTGAAATGATGAACGAAAGGCCGAGTCCATTAGGTCGGTAGGTTATCGTTGCGGTTTAGGTACTCTTAAGGACTGTATAGAGAGAATATGAAAAATGTTTTAATACTGATCCAACGAATACTCGAAGCCGCGAAAATTATCCTACAATATAGCCATCTTGCCGTTTGCATTTTCTTAATATTTATTGATTATGGGTTAGCAATTTGATCATATTCGAATTTTGTCTCAAATTGAATTGATGTGATCTTTTTTGAATTATAAGAAAATTTCTGTGCAATTAAATATAGGATCTCCTAAATTTGCGTTATTCGCAGCGGAACTGCTTATGTGAGGTAAAGATAGTGAAACCAGCATTCAGATAGCCTTTATCACCTGCCAACAATCTTTTAATGAATGCAACAATCACATAATTAGAGTGTGGGAATATTTTCACTTCTAGTTTCTCTTGATATCATTTGAAATACAATGTAATCCAGCTAAGTTACATCAGAATCATAAATTCATCCAAATATTTCCACACAAATACACTAAATTGCACTAGGTTTTTCTGTATATAAAGTGGGTACTTTAATTGAGGATAAAAGAATGTTACGGACAAAGAAAATTGAATTGAGCTTCGGACAGATATGTAGAATGAAAAAATATTAAGAGCTACAATGCTTACGTTTGTATTACAATAGTTTTGTGAGAATATAATCATGTACTCGCAGAAAAATTGTCTGAAAATTCAGCTGAATGAAAACCATATAACGGCATTACTCTCAATGATTCCTCAGTTATATGCCAACATCACTAATTAGTTCCTTCCATACAAGATTTGCGCTATAAACCGAATATAGGCATACTATTAATTTATTTTTTCAATGGAAGGTATTCACTCTGAACAAAACTGACATCATGCAGAAGATTTGAGACCATTTCTTCAATATGGCAAACAAGCCCTATTGAAGATCCGAACATCGCCAACGGAGGAGTTAGATTCAAAGATTTTCAAGTCATCGAACAGCAACATTTAAGAAACTTAAGAATTATTCATATAACAACAAACAGAAAAACAAAGCGGACAAGATGGCGACTGTACATAACATTTCGGATAACTAGTTTTTGAGGCTTCGTTTAATATATACGCATTGAAATTTTTTTCCGGACCTCAGCTAGTCACTTTCCGTGATTAGCTGAAGAAAAATATTGGGGATAATGGTATAACAACAATCCACCCGGTTCTGTTCAATGTTCTGAAACTGAAACTGAAACGACTGAACATCATAATAATCAATTTCTTATGATTACAAATCTATAAAATGAAAACCGACGTGCGATGAATTTATTGGTTTTTGTTTTTGTGTTTAAATTCATAAGAAATTTCGTTAGATTCCATTTGAAATCTCACATTTAATACACGTATCACTTACACAAGAGTAAGCAAGGATTTTAATCTCTCGCGGCATCATCTAGTTCAACTTGAATTTCAAATCATCTAGTACTTTACGGTAATCAGCATATAATCACCGCAAAGTAATCATTCGATTTGCGAAAAATTAGGACATTTTAAAACTCGTTCATTACTTTCGAATTTCTCACGGCGCCGTACTACTCTTTATAAATACTGCTTGAATGTTCTGAGTTCGAATTCTGGGTAAAATGTTTCTTCATATATATCTGTGATTTTTGTAGTTTGAAATGACATATGCCAACAATTGTCTAATACACCAGCTAAAGTGCCGATCGACACAAGCGTTGAACTTCTAAAGTAAATACTTCAGATGTTTTTGAGTTAACATAAATTGATACTCCTGATCACAGTATTTTATAGAGAAGAGGAACAATTTTATATTTCCGAAAGAATTTAATGAACACCAGGTCTATTTTATACGGAATATTCTCATGAAAAATTGAAAAGTTTGTAATATCTGATGAAAATTATGAGATATAGTTTCATACCTCGTTACCATCACAAAATTATAGAATGTAACTGCGATTTCAGTTTAGGTTTATCAACGTTTTTCACCAGATTTTAGTAGGAAGAGATTATTCAAGGTATGCGCTGATCTACACCCCCTATTCCGTATGAAACCACATAACAATGGCCTCATTTTTCTTAAGGATGGGCATCACTGTTTTCTTCTTGAAATATTAGTTCTCTCCACCTCACATTTCCTGAGGATCATTCATTGTCCGGAATTTCAATCGCAAACTTGATTTTATGTTTCACTATCTCAAGACGATAGTGTAGCAACAACCCAGCGACTACCCAGTAGCAACTAAATTAAGTTTTCACTAGGATAAACCCAAACATACCAACGATGGAGTGCATCGAATTCATTCCTTTTTTTCAATACAGTAGACGATTCCGACGCGCAATGTGCTTGTACTCAATGTATTTTACCCAACAATTATCGTCATTAAACTACTTAAATCATAAATAGACACATACACCCATGACTCCATCGAGGCTCGAACCCGGTGCCGAATCCGGTACCCGAATCCCACCGCACCATAGTCGGGTGTTCTTCGGACTAAACCACGGAGGCCGGCCGATTTTTTTCTATATCTGCATCTTTTGTGGTAGAAACAGTTTTTTCTTCGGTTTTGGAGTACTATGATTCATCGTCAGCGATTTAAGTAGCTTCAGCTTATGTATTTGAGAATTTTTGTTTCGCAGATAACTCCTTGTTATGGAGTTTTGGGATCATCGTTCGTAAAAGTTATTTCGAATGATATTTTGAATCCTTCAATGTTTTCTTCATCCTTGAACTCACATCCAATTATTCTGATAAAGAAGTTTCTAGAATACAACAGACATCCAAGAGACTCTAATGCTGACAGATTCAAGTTCGTAATATTTTGCAATCTTGATAGTTCAAATCACTTCTTCAACTTCAAGTTACGAAAAATTCTTTGCTCCGACTTTCGGGTCGAAAATACGAATCAAACAAGAGTTGGAAGTTGGAAGATGAAGTTTTAATGGATTAACTAACGTTTCTTTCTACTTGAAGAGCATTTTAATGATTGGGAAGTACAATTTTCAGCAATATTCCTTCGAACTCGCAGTAGCTTCTTTCCCGAATATTTTTTAAAGTGATATTTGGGTTCACTTTCATACAACATTGTGCAGAAGTGCCAAGTTTAATTTTTTTCAAATTCAAAATCAAAATTGATCACTTATATTCTTGCAAGTCTTAATTAGTGTGAATATATTGAACAACGATCAACAATACTTAAGCTTTACGCCATTGCAGTTTTACTTATTTATCATCAATAACAAAATTAAACGATCGAATATTGATAAATCAACATGTTGATTTTGAACACTTGAATGTTTGATAAATCAAACATTCAGTGTTTTTGTAAAATCGCAAAGTATTATTCCAGTCAATAAAGGTGAACTCTTCTGTAGGATAGAAAAAGTATAAGAAAAACATAAGAAATTCAATATCTTATATACCATAAAAATCAGAGTGTTGAGAGAAATATGTCGAAGACTTAGTTCTTCTCTTAGTTTTCCTCAGTTTTCTCTTAAAGTAATTTGATATTTCTATTCGGTAGCAAGAAAGACTCTAGGATTGAGATAACGTGACCGGTTTGAGTGTAAAAATCACAATTTTTTTAAGGTCTAATTTGATATGCGGTACTTGTATTTTAGGTAAAGGTAAAGTACTATACTAAGAATTCCAAAAAAAGATATATTAACATTATATTAAATATTTATGTAATTATTCACTTGCCTTGTATTGAGTTATATCCTGGTAATTCCCTGTATCAGTTGATCCATAAGAAACTTTTTATAGGTAGAGGGCGTTTTTGAAGGATAAAATAAGGTTAAGACAACTCAAACCACGTGCACAACTTCCTTTCTGCGGATACCTGACACTTTATCGAACTTTCACGTATCTTGAAGCAGAGTACACTGACTTGTTAATGCTGGTACGAGCCGATATCGAAGCACAGTGTGTATTCTGGCATGGACAACAGGTATTTAGGGCACCGGGTCACTGGTCCGTGACTGAAGACGCTGCCCAGTCTTGATAGTTGGGTGATCATCAAACATGACACCGCGAAGAAGAAATTATTGCTCTATTGGTTCGTCCAATTTTGTTAAGGAGCAGGTACGGCATGTGTATATGTTTTGTTGACGACTTAGTTAGAAGGTACGAGGTGGAAAGTAATTTTCTCGTAGTGAAGATATAAACAGGAAGTTTACGTTTGAAGGTTAGCTAGGTTCTCAGTGATTGTTGCGGCTTTAATATCTGACATTAGATTTTCAATTATATTTAATGATATCATCGTGGAGGACTTCATTGTCAGACGTGTACTAGACTAAGTTTTTTTTCGCTTAGAAGGTTTTAATTTATATTATATATATATATATTAGTTTAATTTATATATTCAATTATATATATATATATATATATATATATATATATATATATATATATATATATATATATATATATATATATATTAATTTTTTTATTTCATCTCTATAGGAAAAACGACAATTAAAAAACATTTGATAGTTTACTTGATGGAAATCCATTATAACTGAATATAAACTTAAATTCAAAGACTTGAACTTATGATTTACACTTCATTCACCACATAGCATGACGCGTTTCATCGTTACAAACGACTTCTTCCGATGCTTACAGAATACGAGTAATAACAACATTTTGAAAGGTTTACAAGGGTGAATTGTTTAATTCTATCTGTTCATTGAGCAAATTTCCAGAATTTTTGAGACAAAATTATTTCCAATATTTCCCAATAATCTAATTGACTTCTTCTCTCTATATTGTGTAAAATTTTGAAATTCGTTTCAAAAGTATGGCTTTCTGTTAATAGATGGTCAGCATTATTCTAATTGCTTTTATTATGTGCGAAGCTATATTTATGTTCCTGTATTCTAGTACCGAAATTTCTACTAGTTTTACCTATATAT